CCTGGCCTCTCCCACACCTCCAGCCCCCTCCCAGCCCCACCTCTCGGGAGGAGTTACTCTGTCGGAGAGGAGCTTTCCATTAGCTTCTACAAGGCCAGCGCTGCCGAGGAGGGAAGGCTGGGCTGACTGCCCTTGGACCACCTTGACTGCCCTCATACCTCCACCCCATTCTGCACCACCCCCGGGTCCCCCGACCCCCAGCTAGAAGCAGGCTTCTCTGCAAAGCCAGTCAAGAACCCAGGACTGGGGGGTCAGAGCCAAGCCGACACCAGCTCTAACCTGCGCCCCTGGGGGTGGGGGTGTCTCTGTGGGCTTAGCCCATCCAGCACTCATTCAGTCACCCCCCAGGGGTGCTGCCTGCTAGGGGTGGGGAGACTCAGCCTTCTACCCTCACACAGCACAGCTGAGAAGCGGGCACCCCCAAGGCGAGGGTCTTCCCCCACAGGAAATGCTGGCTGGGCTGCCATGGGGCTGGTGAGGGGGGCAGCAAGCCTGTGGGAGACCCCTGGGATGTGGGGGTGGGCAGGCTTGAGGTGGGGTCTGGCTGAGGGAGGCAGAGCTGGAGAAGAGGGCAGAGAGATGAGGGGAGCAGACAGTGGGGCCTGGCGAGTTGGGGTGTGCAGGGGAGGGGGCATGGTTCTTTATCCATAGAATAGTGGGCATTGCCGCTGTTCTTATATCCCGATAAGTGGGTTCTGACCCCTAGTGACACTGCAGGACAGAAGAAACCTGCCCCGTGGTGTTCCCAAAGCATCAAAGCCCTGATGGTCTAGAGAGAGCAGTGGTTCTCAACCTTCCTCATGCTGCGACCCTTTCATACAGTTCCTCATGTGGTGGTGAGCCCCCAACCATAACATTATTTCATCACTGTCATTTTGCTTCTGTTATGAATCAGGCGACCCTTGTGAAAGGGTCGTTTGACCCCCCAAAGCGGTTGAGACCCCCAGGTTGAGAACCGCTGGTATAGTGGGTGATGGGCTGGCCTGCTAACCCCAAGGTCAGCAGTTCAAACCACCAGCCTCTCCTGGGGAGGAAGCTGAGACTTTCTGTTCTTGTCAGGATTGAGTCTCGGGCTCCCACAGGGCAGTTCCGGATGGCTGGGAGCTCGGATTGGGATGTGCATTTACAGAAGCGGACTGCCGCCCTGGTCTTCCTGGGGCAGCAGCTGGTGGGTTTGAACGCCCAACCTGCCGTACCACCGGGGCTCCTCAAGGAGACCCATAGAAGCTGGGGGTGGACTAGACCCCGCTCAGACAGACCCGGGAGAAGCCCCTTTCCACGCCATAGTGCCTCGTCTGTAAATTGGGTTCATAGCAGCACCTCCTGCGCTATTGCCTCATCTGGGGTTTCACAGGCACAGCGCACGGCCGACACCCCCCACCCCCCGCGTGGGCCCAGGCACTTCCAGGGCTACCTTTCTGCATAAAGTAATCAATTAATTAAAGATGGTATTTTCTGACTTGGTTGGCATAAAGACAAATATACTAATACTGTATTGTTCCATTTTAAAGTCCATTCATCTCTCCGCCGTCCCCCCCCCCCCAGTTTTAAAAGGAATGGCAAATGCCCCTGTGGGACCCGAGTAGTTGAGTGGGGGCCGCAGGACCGAGTCTCCTGTGCACAGTGGCTAGGTCGGAAGCGGAAGCTGGTCTTTTCCCAGGGTGATGCCTGGACAGGGCAGGAGGGCGGGACAGCTCGGGGCAAGTGGAAGAGGGATCAGGACGGTGTGCCCCCCTCCCCCCGACTTCCCTCCCCACCATCCCCCCTGGAGGGCAGCTCCACTCACTAGGCATGGGCTGGCACGAAGCGAAAAGGCGGCTGAGCGTGTGACCCGGCGGTGCCGCCTTGGTCCAGTGACTTCTTCCACCAGTGAGGAGAGCTGCCCTGCACGTGGGGTCTGCCCCCGTCCCTGTCCCAGGGCAGTGACCACACGGCAGCTGTGGCAGGATCTGGGGCACAGACCGAGGAGCGGCTAGACCCTGTCCACCAGGGCTGGGGCAGAGGAGGGGCTAAATTCCTGGGCCTGAGCAGGTGTGCACTGAACAAGCAACTGTGAGGTGTCAGGGAGGCCCAGGCAGAGGTGTGGGAGCCTGGGAACCCCAGCCCCGTGGCCGGTGGATGCCGCCTGGGGACAGCGGGCTAGCAGTGACTCTCCACCAAGGTCGCAGGCCAGGTCATCCAGCCCAGTAAAGCGTGACACAAACAGCCATGGGCAGGCAGACAGGACGCTACAGGGCTGAGGGCCAGCTTCCAGAGCAGGACCGGGCCACCTGATCCCCCACAACCTCCTCCCTGGTTGACCACAAGCTTCCTGGCGTGGCTGACTGAGCCCCTCCTGGGGGGTCAAAGACCCTGATTCACTGGGGATTCACTGGGGCCCGCTGGGATCCTGTGGGTGGGGCTTACAGTGGGGTCCAGTGCTGGGCCTGCCACCAGCCACCACACCCTCAGCAAGGAGGGAGGGGACAGGGACGGAGAACACGGCCCCGACAACCGCAGTGTCCTTAGCTCAGGCTCCATTTCTCCCACTCCCTGTCGCTCCGAGAGCCTCAGCCGCCTCATCTGAAAAATGGGCTAATAGCCACTTGTGCTTTAATATCACAGGCTAAGGAGGTGGGCTGTGATAAGGGGAGCCATGGGAAGGGAAAGATGGGGACCCTAGGGCCCAGGCAGGAGGGGAGGGAAAGGGCCAGCCAGGGACTGCCCACAACTTCCCGTGCTGGGCACTGGGAGTCCAGAACTGCCCTGCTCACTTGTGTCCATTGGTTGGCCTCCTGAGTGGTCGTCAGTCCATTCCCTATGGGGGCACTGCGTGGCCAAGCATGGAGGGCGGCCAGAGCAGCAGGGCTGGGGAAGGACCGCCACCCCCTGGAGCTCTACCCAGGGGACCCCCAAACATGAGGAGAGGGGAGAGGGGGAAGGCATTGCGTGCGGCACAGCTTCCAGGATGTGGTGGGGAGGGGGCAGAAGTGTAGACGCAGCTCCTCTCCTCAGGGCCACACCTGTCCCTTCCCACCGGTGACAGGTGACAACCAGCCTGATCCCTGGAGTGAAGGTCTTCCTCTGGCCCCATGCCCCTCCCTCTGGTAGCTGGCTGGGTGGGTGGGCATCGAACCAGCTCACCCCTGGCCCCTCATGGTGGGACGGCGGATGCCGGGCAAGCAGGCCAGGCCTGGCGCCTCCCTCCAACGGGGGCCTGCCGCTCGGCAGGTCAGTGCCCCTTCCCCTCCCAGCCCCTCCATGGCACACTGCCAACCCATTTGGCACCGTGCCCTCTTTGAGCCAGAGCCAGTTCGTTTGTGGCCAGTGTTAATTAAGAGAGAGAGGTGATGGGGGGAAGTGGGGGCCGTGGAGGGCAGCTTCCGACAGCCGCCAGGTCTGCCTCACGGCCCGAAGGGGCCAGAGCTGGCTGAGGGCCAACCTGAAAGGCCTGCTGTGCCCCATGGGCACGGGGCGGGGGGCAGGCTGTCACCCACACGCGCACGCAGACACACACACATGCATCAGACTGCATCCAAGTGGACCAGGTTTCGAGGATGGCCTTCCTTGACAGTCCCTCAGACCGTCTGCCTTGAGGTCCGCCTGCTTCATGAACCGGCGTTGGAGTCAGACCCCAGTCCGTCTACACTGCTGCTCCACTCAGCCTGAGCCTCAGTTTCCTCCTCTGGGAAACGGGAGCAGCGAGCCTCCCTGGTGGAGTTACATCAGCAAGTGGGCCCCTTCCTGTGGTGCCTGCCTGAGGGTCCCCCTTGGCCAAAGGAGACCTGTTTTCCCGAGACAGAGCCCATCTCCTCAGCCACCCTCGCTTGGCCTCCTAAATCCAGAGCCAGGGGTCTCCCTGCTTCGCCCCAGGGAAGCTCACTCGATGCCGCCACCATCGCCCCCCTCCTCCATCCCCCGCCACCCGCCTGCAGCCCCCCAGCACTGCTTTGGGAGCCCCAGCCCTTGCCTCGCCTCTCCATCTTAATTAGCTGCTTGTGTTAATCTCGCAAGTAACGTGGCAACTTGCAGGCCTGGGTTTTCGGGAGGTGGAATTAATTATTCCCCAAGCAAAGAGCTATCAGCTCTGGGACACCAGCCACTCCATGCTGCCCCAACACCACTTAGCGGTGTCCACAGCTTGCGCGTGACACCCAGGTCCACAGTCCGGCAGCCCGAAGTGGCCCCGCCGGGGCTCCCCACTCCACGCCGGGTCCCCCAACCGCCTCAGGCCACAGGACCCATGAAGGTGGGAGGTGACAATGCTGTGTGTGGGGACAGGGGGGCTGAACTGCCCCCTCCCCACCCCGCCCCCCACCACACACACTGCAGTCAGAGCAAAGGATTGCTGTCCCGTGAGTGTCACGACCACTGGGAGGCAGCCCCGCTCCTGGTTTCCCCATCTTACACGGGGAAACTGAGGCACCACGCCAGGTGGTCCAAGTCACCCCACCCCTGGAGGTCTGGTTCCTCCTCCGGCACCGTGTTGCCCTCCTCCCCCGACGCTGGCCCAAGGTCTCACACCCTGCTCATTCCCGGGGTCGCGGGTGCCCACACGCACATGCACACCCATGCACACACACCGACACTCATGCTCGCACACACGCATGCATGCACGCATGCACGCACGCACGCATGCTGCAGGGCTGCCTCTAGAACCCAAAGCAGAAAGCCAAACCCTGCACTGGAGTTGAGGCCGACTCACAGCGCCCCCGTCGGACAGGGCAGAACTGAGACCGTAACTGTCTGTGGGCGTAGCAAGGCACCCCATCTTCTCCCTGCAGAGAGGCTGGGGTCACATCCAAGGGACCCAGCCTGGCCTGGGCTCTGCCCTGGCTGGACAAGGGGCTCTCAGCCGGTGCTGGGGGCAGACAAAGAAAGGCCTCGCACCTCAGCCCCACCCACGCCCACAAGCCCACTAGGAACTCACTCGGTGGAGAGCCCCCTCCCCTGCTCCCCACCCCCACCCCTGCACCGGCCCCACACCTGACTGACCGGCCTCTCTCTCTTGTCTCTTGCAGCCAACAGCTCCCTGCTCGGAGGTGGGGGTGGTAAGTGGACGTCTCCTGCTGTCTGGGGGGTGCGGGCTGGCCGCGGGCAGTGGGTGTGCTTCTCCTGCTGTGCGCCTGTCCTCCTACCCCAGTCTCTGAGTCTGTCCCTACCTGACCCCTCCCCCCGCACCTCTACTTCCCATCCGTCCCCCTTTCTGCAAGGGGACCCAGACACCCTCTGGTCTCCTGGAGGTCAGGGCTCCTGAGTGGGACTAGGCTGGGTCTCAGTTTCCCCATCTGAAGGAGCAGAATCTTCATCTCCGCCCTGCTGACAGCCCTTGAGGCTGGCCGTGCTCAGAGCTGGTCGCCGCCGCGTGCTCACCATTGCTGTGGACCACCCGTGGCCAGGCTGGCAAGCAGGTGGAGCTCAGGTGGGCCGTAGAGGCCAGCCGGTGCCAGAGGGCAGGGGGTGTACCCTATACCCCATGCCCCTCCGCCGGCTGCCCTGCCCTGTGGCACCAGCCCCCTGCCCACCCCCCTCACCGCCTGCTCAGCCCCCGCTGTCTGTGAGCAGCAGGGTGATTGGTGAGCTCCGGGCCAGAGGTTAATGCGCCGTCGGATAAATCCCGGGGGCCATGTTTACGGCAGCGGTGGCGGGGCCCAGGCCAGGTTTTAAAAGGGGGAAAAATAAAAGGGGGCAGAGAAGGTCAGAAATAAATAAAAGCACGGTGTTCTGAGCTGTTGGGGACCAGCCAGGATGCGAGGGGGCTGTTTGTTGTTTGTGACTGCAGTGTTTGCCCTCCCCCCCCTCCAGCTGCCTGTGGAGGTCACAGCTCCCTGGGCCTCACAGATTGGGGGGGGGGGCGGGGGCTGCTAGGGAACTTCTCCTTGAAGCCCATCCTTTGAAGGGACGCCAAGGCCCCGGTGGACTGGACCTCTGCCAGGCTCTGCCCACTGTCTCCCCTGTCCTCAGTTCATTCACTCATTCATTGACCAGTGTAAGCACCCACACTGTGCAGATTCTGAGCCGGCAGCGGCGGGGGCGGAGGGGTTGTGTTAGCACCAGAGCTGGGACCGGACAGACACTTGGGGTCCTCACTGATGGGCTGCTGGGTGTCTTGACCAGGGACAGTGCCACCTCTGGGCTGGGATGCGGCCAGAGACTCCCAAGTGGTCATACACAGGGTATTATGTGCCGTGACGGGGAGCCAGGCTGTCTCTGAGCTGGGACAGGGCAGGGACTTCAGGACCCTCACACACAGTATGTAATGATGGGGGGGGGGGACAAGGAGGCACCGGGAGAGCTCAGCGGGAAGCCACTCCCAGATGTGGGCAGTGGGGAGGAAACTTCTGGAAGGAGGCAGTGCCTTGGACAGGAGAGGCCCACCAAGGAGCATGGGAAGGGTATGGTAGGCAGGGGGACAGCACGGGTGAAGGCCTACCAGGAGGGAGGGCGCCCAGTGAGGAGGGGGTGGATGGTGAGAGACAGCAGAGGGTCAGCAAACTTTCTGTGGAAAGAGCCTCTCTCTGGGTCTTTCCAAAATGTGGGGCTGAAAGACATAGGTCAGCAGAAGGGCTGTTGTCACCCCTCTTTCTTCTGCTCAAGACTCTACGGGGCTCCCCCCTCTTTCAGGGCCAAGACCAAGGTCTTCATGACAGCCCACCAGCTCCCCAGGCAACCCCGGACTCTCCTGTACACCCCCAAACACACACACACAGACACACACACACACAGCTCCTCCCTGCCATTTCTGGAAAGGCTTGCTCCTGCCTCAGGGCCTTTGTACAGGCTGCGTTCTCTGCCTGGAATGTGCTTCCTCCAGTCAGCCACGGTTCTGCATCCCTCGCCTCTTAAAGGCTGTGTTTTTATGCCACCTTTTCCCTCAGCTGCAGGAGCCCTGGTGGCACAGTGGTTAGCGTTGGGCTACGATCCAAAAGGTCGGCAGTTCAAAACCACCAGCCACTCCTCGGGAGAAAGACGGGGCTTGCTACTCTCATGCAGACTTGGAAACCCACAGGGAGAGGCCTCCCCTGCCCTGCACGGTTGCTGTGGGTCAGTGCCGGGGTTTGGGTTTTATTTAGTCTCCCAGCACCAGTGAAACGGACATGCACCGGCCTCCTCGTCCTCTCCTACTTCTAACCCGCTGCGTCATTCGATGGTTAGTTATGCGGACGGTTGATTGTCTGCTTCCCTGAGGGCTCAAGGGCAAGATTGTGTCCCGAGCACCGGGCCCAGATCACTGCTTCCAATCAGGTCTGTGCTGATTCATGGTGACCCTACAGGACAGGGCAGAACTGCCCCGTGAGTTCCCGAGACCGTAACTGTGGGAATAGAAAGCGCCGTCTTTCTCCCGCGGAGTGGCTGATGGTTTCGAACCGCTGACCTTGAGGATTGCAGCCCAATGAGTAACCCCTTCAACATACAGCAGGTGCTCAGTGAATGCATGTTGAATGAGCCAGTGACCTACAGGTAAAAGGCAAGAGAGCCTCACACCCCCCACCCACCCCCCACCCCACCCCCGCCTCCTTCGAGGCTGTGGAGGCCACTGCGGTTTCAGACAGGGCGGTGGCTTCCTACATGGTCCTGTAACCTCACTCTGGGAGGTCGAGGGGCACCTGCTCTGGCTCCTTTGTGCCCATGCCCTTGGTGGTGGGAGCTGAGAGGCGATGGGAGCCCCACACCCTGGCCTGGCTGATGGGGAGACAGATGGAGAGGGCCGGGACCTGAGAGGAAGTGGGCCCTCAGTCCGGCCTCTTAACTCGGCCAGGATTTATGGAGCCGCCTCCAGTGCTCGCCAGAGCTGTCACTCCGCTAATGTGCTTGGAACAAGGTGGCGGGGAGGGAATCTAGGGGGGGCCGAATCAGAGGCTGGTTGGGGCTGGCGCCGCCTGGGCTGCAATGGAGACAGGGCTTGGTCAACGCCACCCCACCCCCCTATTGCCACCATGCCCTCTGCACCCCTGCCTTCTGTCGTCCCCTGGCCCATCCCACCCTTGACCGCTTTGAAGGACCGACCGTCCCAAGTGGGTGACACCAGGTGCCTCCTGACTCTGCCCAGGTCAATCTAGTCTCCCCATGGAGCTCCTGAGGCCCCTCCCTCTCCTGGAAGAGCTTCAGGCCTCTAGTCACCCACCTACTCACCCACTCCGCTTTCAGCCCCCAAAGCCACCCACCCATCCATCCACCTATTCACCCACCCACCCACCCACCCATCCATCCATTCACCCACCTACTCACCCACTTCACTTTCAGCGCAAACAGCCACCCACCCCTCCATCCACTCACTCACCCATCCATCCATTCACCCACCTATCCACCCAATAACCCACCCACCCATCCATCCATCCATTCATTCACCCAACTACTCACCTTCCCACGACCACCCACCCACCTACTCACCCACCTATCCCTCCCCCTCCCCGCTCCACATACTCCACAGCCCTGATGCCGGCCCCTCACTGAAGCATGCAGCAGCTGCCGCCGCCGCAGCCAGGGCACTCAGCTCTCACACACACACTCACATTGCACGTGCATCTTCGGCTGCCCGGCTCCCCTGCGACAATTGACCCTCCCCAAGAACAGAGCTCTAGGCGATGCCCAGCCTCTGGGGCGGCACTTGCACAATGACAACGCGTTGTGCCTCCAGCCCTGCCCTCGGACTCATTGCCCAGTCTGGTGGGGGAGGCAGCAGGTAGGCGACACAGGGGTGTGGGTGGCAGAAGAGGGGGCCAGGGCAGCTGGGACTTGGGAGGGGTGAAGGGGACGGGGGCTGTCCTGCAGGGCAGTGTGTAGAGAGCTCAGTGCTCCCATGGTCATTGTGGGGGTCAGTGTAGGAGCCAGAGGGCTGTGTCTTTGCGGGAGGGGGGCCATGGAGGGACCAGGGAAGAGAGGGTCTCTGGTCCCTAACTTCAACCCAGAGGGGACTGAAGGGACATAGTAGAAGAATCTTAGACCTAAGGGACTGCCTTGCCCTAAAGATGGGCCCCCTCACTCTTATTCCTGCCCCAAGGTCAGCCTGAGTAGAGGCTGTCCAGGCAGCAGGCCACGGGTCTCAGTGTTGTTCTCAAAAGAGATCTGTTTGGTAGGAGGGGACATTTGACTTGGGTCTTGAAGGCTGAATAGGAGTTCACCAGGGTCAGAAGGCACAAGAGATCTGCCAGGTGAAGGGCCGGGCAGTGTCCATCCCTGGGGCCCTCCTGCTCTCTTCCCCCTACCCTTGACTGGCTAGATGATGCTGTTTTGTGAACCGATCTGCATTGTTCGGTAAGAAGGGAGGCGGGCTCTAAATCAGGAGGAATCGACAGCCCTGACTCTCCCTCCGTTTATTAGGACTGAAATGTTTATTCGGCGAGGAGGAGCGGCTTCCTCGCCCAGATTTGTGCGCTCTTTTTCAATTACCCCGCGTCTTTCTCTGCCACTTCTGCACTAAAGGGATAATAAATGTATCGGAGCGTTTCAATTATTCATCTAAATCATGACTGCTCCTGCACGGCCAGGCTCCAGTGACAGATTAATTCAGGACAGCCTGCTTCCGCCTGCATGGCCACCATCTCCACTCCGGCCTGGCCAACGCCTCCTCGATCCTCCAGGGGGATGGATGGATGGATAGGTCAGGCCTGCCCCTTCGACTTCTCCCCATGTGCGTGGGTGTCCTGCATGCCCATGCATCCCAGGTGTCTCGCTGACCCTAGCTGTTTGTGGGGGGCCGGCGGCGAGCCTGGCACTGCTCAGGGCTCGGACTGCCGTTTGTGCGGGGTCACAGCACACCCAGTGAGGGCAGACCCCCTGAGCATGTCTTAGGGGAGGAAGCTGATGGGAGAGGCAGTTGGTTTTTCAATAAGGGCATCCACAGAGTCTGGTTATCAAGTGGGGCTGGCAGGCCGTTCTCTCTCAGCCAGATGCCTCTTCCTGGTGAGCCCCTAGCTGGGAGGTCGGCAGTTAGAAACCGCCAGCCGCCCCCAGAGAGGAAGAGGAAGCTTTCTACTCCTGTGAAGGGTCAAAGACTCGCAAACCCAGAGAGGCAGTTCTACCTGTCGCATAGGGTCCCCGGGAGTTTGGT